CCCCCCCCCCCCCCCCTCCCATCGCCCCCCCTCTTCCCAAGCCCCGATGGACTCCGGCTGCCCCTCCGGAGACCCCCAGCTCCCTTCTGGCCTGCCCAAAGCAGCCCCCAGCACGCCGGGGCCCCCGCCACGCTCTCCCCCCGCCGCCACGCTGCCTCCCGCCCCATTTTCCAGCCTGCGGAGGAGATACGGACCGGGATGGAGTTGGTCTCATTGTGTTTTTAACCCTGCCAAGAGGCAGGAGGGGCCAGGCAGGAATTAGGCTTGGCCAAGGCCAGTCTCTGCTTTCGGGGAGATGCTGGGATGACCGGCCCCGGGGAGACGAGGGTGCCGAGGCCGTGGGATGCTGCCTGGTGCCACGGCAGCCCCGAGCAGCAGGGAAGGGCTGTTATCCCCATCCTGCGGTGGGGAAACTGAGGCACCGGCTGCCCGGTCCCCCCCGTGGGACGCTCCCGTAGGAAGTGTGTGTGCCCTGGCCGCAGCCCAGCCGCGGCGGGAGGCGGCAGGCCGGGGGGGGCGGCAGCCGTGGGAAGCGCGAGCCGACCCAACCTGACACAGGGCAGAGGGCACCGAAAACAGCACGAAAACCTCTGCAGCAAGAGAAGGAGCAGGATAACAGCCCTTTCCGCCGCAGCGGAACGAGCTGGGTTGGCCAAATAAACAGATTGGAAGAAAAACAAGAAATTCTGCTGGACAGAAAGCTGCCGGATGCTCGGCGCATTAAATGCCATAATTTAGCTGAGAGGAATGTGCTGGATTGCGGTGGGGTCGGAGCAGCCGTGCTCTGTCCCCGGGGCGTACGGAGGATGCCGTGGGCAGCGCAATTCCCTTTGCACCTCATTTATTGCTTTTCCAGCCTCATTTTTCCCTCCTCCACTGGGTTTCCCACTCCTTCCCCCTTCCCTGCTGCCAGAATCCAGCGGGATGCGGGCATCCTCCAGAGCTGGGGCTGGAGCATCCCGCCTCCCCCAGGGCCTGATCCTGCCCTTGGGCCCAGCCTGGCCCCAAAATGAGCAGCAGCCCTTTGGCAATAAAGCATAAAAAAAGAAAAGCATCGAACTCTTCTTAAAGGAAACCGTGTTGCGTATTGAAGCCACTGGGCAGGCTTGCAGCCGCGAGCTCGCGGGCAGGATCGCACCACAGCCAGATCATTTTATACACACACAGATATATATATATATTTAATTATTATACTCCGAAGCCCCCAGCACTCTTTGGAAACGCCTTCTGGGCAAGTAAAAGTGTGTTATGGGCAGCGGGGCCACCAAATAGCTGGCTAGTGGTAGTTGAAAAGGGGTTATTGAAATAAGATTGAGAAGGTATTAAAGCACGAGCTGACAGCTGCCGTGGCCCTGGCTCGGGTGGTTTGGGGGCTCGGGGGGC